TGTTCCTTGCTAATGCTCCAGGGCAGAGAAGTCCAGACGTCTCCAAATGGACTGTGCCTGGCAGCAGTTAATCTTTGCAGAGCCATTAACGATTAAAAACCCAGTAAGTGCACAAAGTAAGATTTACCGACTAATTAATCTAAAATGACTGTCATGTATGTACTCTCCGTGACTTTCTGAATAGAATCCTATTGTCAATGGAGACAAACAAACTAATGGTTATTTTTACACCAGGCACCTGCAAGTAAACTATACTGTATAAAATTAGAAAGAACCAGATTAAAACCAAAATAACCCTCCAATAAACTGGCTCTTCTCTGTTATTTTGTTATCCTGCCAACCTCTGAGGAGTCCATCTTTTATTGCTGAGAGGAAATCTCATATCCACCACTGAGAAGTGTCTCCTTTTTCTGTCAGGAAGCAGGGGCTCCAGATGATGATGCAGTGAAAACAATAAGACACTGCATCCTAAAAACTATGAATATTCCAAATAGTCTCCATCCCTGACATTTTATGTCACTCTATCTCTGGTTCCCTGTCAGGACCCTGTGGAATTTCAGAAAATGATAAAGAAGTTCATATTTCTTTGCAACATTTTCCCATAATGTATATGCATTATTGGATTAGATCAGAATGCAGATGCAATGATCAGAATTTCTGAGGTTTTTTACATTTCTAATTATTTCTGCTACATTCTGATTCTTTGAAATTAAGGGCACTTCCCTTTTAAAGATAAGTGTTTTTTTAAGTTAAATATTTATAGATGCAGACATCAAAGGCAGGTGTTTAAATGTGATATTACTTTACCTATTCCAATCTTATTATACTAACAAGAATGTTACTTAGGTAAAAGTAAAAAATACTTTAAGTACAACTGGTTCTAAAAGCACAGATCTTTCATAAAGTAAATGTAACTGATTGAAATGTAACTAGTACTACCCACCTCTGACCGGAGGTTCACAGAACAGGTTCTTTTGAAATGCTAATAAGCCTTTATAAGCACAATGAGATTTTAATTATTTTTCAATGACTTTAATGTAATTAACTTAAGACATTTCCAATGGATCATCCTGACCAACCCAGAAGGGCGTCTGGTATTCGCCCTTAGGGTGGGGGTGTGGGTGGCGGGTGTTGGGGTTCTGTCATGATCTTGGCACCGATGACTGGTTTGATTACTCATTTCATTCACCTGCTTAGCTCCACCCAGCTCTCACTGCTGTTCTGATCCACCTGTTTTAGCCTCTATATCCACCTGATTTAGCCTCTATTTTTCTAGCCTTCAACCAGCCATCAGAGCCAGATTATTCAAGCCTTTAATGAGAGTTCTCTAGCATTCCTGTGTTTCTGAATCTCTAAACCTGTCTGTTCCCTTTCTGATCTGTTTGCCTGTCCTGTTTTCTGACGCCTGCCAGATATCTGGATGTCTGTTAACCGAACCTGGAACTGTTCCCCAACTCTGTTCTGGATTTCCCTTCGGTACCTCTTCGGACATCTGATCTCCTGGCTATGACTACTGAACATGTCTTAGACACCGTCTTTGGCTTCGCCCTCTGGATTATCCAGCCTTCCTTCATCTGCTCGGTTCTGATCCCCTGCCTGTCTTCCAACCTCCCAGTCATCAGCACCTGGGACTCTCTGGCCGGCGACTGCTACGTCTCATTGGCAGCCTACCTCCTGAACCCAACCTCATCCTCTGGGCTTGGACTGAATGTTCCTGCCTTAGATGCCGACGCTGTTCATTGCAGTTCCATCTTTAACAAACGTTTTGTTAAATCTAACTGTCTTTCTCTCTGAATACTGGGTCCTTTTGTTCTCAGCATGACACTTTAATGTCATTCAAATGCAATTAAAATAAAACGTAATTTGTAAGAAATCTGATTAAAAAAAATTTAAGCGAATTGAACAGGGTTTAAAATACTAAAACACATATTATATTCCTGGTTGAATAAAGTGATATTTTAAGGATGTCGGTAGAAAGGCTGTCATGCAGATAAGAGCATTTGGTCCCACCTTTTGGCAATAGCCAGGCCAGCCAGGAAATATTCCAGAACTGCCCGTGTCCAGCCCGCCCCTGAAGACAAGAGTCTCATAAACGCTCCTTTATTACCCTTTAGTTTAGAAATGTCACCATCAGACCAGAAACAATGAACGGCGAAACAATGAAAACAAGGCAACTTGAGCTCCTGAAAACAACCGACGGCATCTTTATGGTGTTCTTTACCTGTTAACACAGTGCACCATTCTCATGCTGAAAATGGATTTATGTTTAAGGCGTCAACATCAGACTGCGACAGACAGACGACCTGTTCCTTCTCTCACCTATAGACTGCTGGGGATAGGAACCAGCCCCAGCTTGAGAAGAGGATGGATGGATGGATGGATGGATGGATGGATGGATGGATGGATGGATGGATGGATGGATGGATGGATGGATGGATGGATGGATG